AAGCCTGTATGCCACAAAACTGGAAAATGTAAAAGAAATGGACATTTTTTTTAGATAAGTACCATATACCAAAGCTAAACCAAGACCAGGTGAATGATCTAAATAGACCTGTTAGTCGTGAAGAACTAGAAACTGTTATCAAAAATCTCCCTTCCAAAAAAAAAAAAAACCCAGGACCAGATGGTTTCAATGCAGAATTCTACCAGAACTTCCAAGAAGAGCTAATACCTATACTCCTTAATGTATTTAACAATATAGAAACAGAAGAGTCATTGCCAAATTCCTTTTATGAAGCTACAGTTACCCTGATACCAAAACCATACAAAGACCCAACCAAGAAAGAGAATTACAGGCCTATCTCACTCATGAATATTGATGCAAAAATTTTCAACAAAATACTGGCAAACCGAATCCAAGAACACATTAGAAAAATTATCCATTATGATCAAGTAGGCTTCATCCCAGAGATGCAGGGCTGGTTCAACATATGCATATCTATCAATGTAATCCACCATATAAATAAACTAAAAGAAAAAAACCATATGATCATTTCATTAGATGCTAAAAAAGCATTCAACAAAATTCAACACCAATAAAGGTCTTGGAGAGATTAGGGATACAAGGGTCATACCTAAATATAATAAAACTATTTACAGCAAGCCAACAGCTAACATTAAATTAAACGGAGAAAAACTCAAAGCCATCCCACTAAAATCAGGAACAAGACAAGGATGTCCACTCTCTCCACACCTCTTCAATATAGTGCTTGAAGTTCTAGCAATAGCATTAAGACAACATAAGGGGATCAAGAGGATTCGTATTGGAAAGGAAGAACTTAAGCTTTCGTTATTTGCAGATGATACGATAGTATACATAAGCGACTCCAAAAACTCTAGCAAAGAACTCCTACAGCTGATATACACCTTTAGTAATGTGGCAGGATACAAGATCAACTCCAAAAAATCAGTTGCCTTCCTATACACTAAGGATAAGGAAACAGAGAGGGAAATCAGAGAAGCATCACCTTTCACGATAGCCACAAATAGCATAAAATATCTTGGGGTAACTCTGACCAAGGAAGTGAAAGATCTATTTGACAAGAACTTTAAGTCTTTGAAGAAAGAAATTGAGGAGGACACTAGAAAATGGAAGGATCTCCCTTGCTCTTGGATTGGGAGGGTCAACATAGTAAAAATGGCAATTCTACCAAAAGCAATCTATAGATTCAATGCAATCCCCATCAAAATCCCATCAAAATTCTTCACAGATCTGGAGAAGACAATAATCAACTTTATATGGAAAAACAAAAAACTCAGGATAGCCAAAACAATCTTATACAATAAAGGATCCTCTGGAGGCATTACCATCCCTGACTTCAAACTCTATTACAGAGCTACAGTATTGAAAACAGCTTGGTATTGGCATAAAAACAGAGAAGTCGACCAATGGAATCGAATAGAAGACCCTGACTTTAATCCACAAACCTACGAACACCCGATTTTTGATAAAGGAGCTAAAAGTACACAATGTAAAAAAGAGCATCTTCAACAAATGGTGCTGGCAAAACTGGATGTCAATCTGTGGAAGAATGAAAATAGATCTATCTCTATCACCATGCAGAAAACTCAAGTCCAAGTGGATTAAAGACCTCAATATCAGTCTGAACACACTGAACCTGATAGAAGAGAAAGTGGGAAGTACTCTACAACACGTGGGCACAGGAGACCACTTCCTACGTATAACCCCAGCAGCACAGACATTAAGGGCATCATTGAATAAATGGGACCTCCTGAGACTTAGAAGCTTCTGTAAAGCAAAGACACTGTCACTAAGACAGAAATGCAACCCACTGACTGGGAGAAGATCTTCATCAACCCCACAACTGACAAAGGTCTGATCTCCAAAATATATAAAGAACTCAAGAAACTAGACCGTAAAAGGCTAATCAACCCAATTATAAAATGGGGCACTGAGCTGAACAGAGAACTCTCAACAGAAGTAGTTCAAATGGCCAAAAGACACTTAAGGTCATGCTCAACTTCCTTAGCGATCAGGACAATGCAAATCAAGACAACTTTAAGATACCATCTTATACCTGTCAGAATGGCTAAAATCAAAAACACCAAACGCCTTTGCTGGAGAGGTTGTGGGGAAAGGGGTACACTCATCCATTGCTGGTTGGAATGCAAACTTGTACAACCACTTTGGAAAGCAGTGTGGCGGTTTCTCAGGAAATTCGGGATCAGCCTACCCCTGGACCCAGCAATACCACTCTTGGGAATATACCCAAGAGAGGCCTTATCATACAACAAAAGTATATGCTCTACTATGTTTATAGCAGCATTGTTTGTAATATCCAGAACCTGGAAACAACCTAGATGCCCTTCAATAGAAGAATGGATGAAGAAAGTATGGAATATATACATATTAGAGTACTACTCAGCAGTAAAAAACAAGGACTTCTTGAATTTTGCATGCAAATGGATGGAAATAGAAAACACTATCCTGAGTGAGGTAAGCCAGACCCAAAAAGAGGAACATGGGATGTACTCACTCATATTTGGTTTCTAGCCATAAACAAAGGACATTGAGCCTATAATTCATGATCCTAGAGAAGCTAAATAAGAAGGTGAACCCATAGAAAAACATATTGGCATCCTCCTAAATATTAACCTTCATCAGGCGATGAAAGCAGACAGAGACAGAGACCCACAATGGAGCACCGGACAAAAATCTCAAGGTCCAAATCAGGAGCAGAAGGAGAGAGAGCATGAGCAAGGAACTCAGGACTGCATGGGGTGCACCCACACACTGAGACAATGGGGATGTTCTATCGGGAACTCACCAAGGCCAGCTGGCCTGGGTCTGAAAAAGCCTGGGATAAAACCGGACTTGCTGAACATAGAGGACAATGAGGACTACTGAGAACTCAAGAACAATGGCAATGGGTTTTTGATCCTACTGCACGTACTGGCTTTGTGGGAGCCTAGGCAGTTTGGATGTTCACCTTACTAGACCTGGATGGAGGTGGGTGGTCCTTGGACTTCCCACAGGGCAGGGAACCCTGATTGCTCTTTGGGCTGATGAGGGAGGGGGACTTGATGGGGGGGAGGGGGAGGGTAATGGGAGGCGGTGGCGGGGAAGAGACAGAAATCTTTAATAAATAAATAAATTAAAAAAAATTTACACTGAAGATTTAATTATCTTCCCAGGACTAGATTCACAGTGATTCCCCCCCCCCACACACACACACCATTAATGCATACATTCTTCCTATTACTGTAGGATTAGTGCACAGTCCTGATAAGGGCAGACCTTATCCAACTCATCACGTATCCAAATTGAATCAGAACAAAATCACCCTGAATTATGACGTTCATTTTACCCTGGTCTAGAATGATGGTAATTCTGATTTTCAAGCTTTGGGCCCTGAGCTGAATTATATCACTGGGTCTCCTGGTCCTTCTCTTGCATATATGCTTGTAACTGGAGGTTTTTTTTTCCCACCCACCAGTTCCCGAATAACCACTCTGAGGCTTAATATTAATTATAAATGCTTGGCTGATGGTTGAGGCTTATTAATAGCTAGTTCTTACAACTTAAATTAGTCTATTTCTATTAATCTATGTATTGCCACATGGCCATGGCATTACCTCATTTTATACATGTCTTGCTTCCTCAGCCCCTGGCTGGCATCTCCCTGACTACACCCTTCTTCACCTCTATCTCTGCTTAGATTTGTCCTCCTGGCTCTATCCTGCCTTTCCAAATGTTAAAGTTTCTTTATTTATCAACCAATGAGAAAAACACATATTCACAGCGTACGGGATCCCACAACATATACTCCCCTGTTTCTCAGTCACTGTTTCAACCTCCTAATCTATTGATGGAGCTGTTACACCCATGAACTCGCCTTAGGCATGGCTATCTGCACATGTTCAAGCCAGGAAAATCAGCCAACATTCTTACATTGCAGAACTACTTAGACTTTGTAGGTTATAAAAAGCAAGAAAGCACATGAAGGTGAGAAATGAGTTGGCGAGTTTCCAAGAGATGATAGCCAGTCAGATTGGAGGTGGATTAAGTACCAAGGAGCTATGAAATTACCTAAGAACAAATAAATTTAAAACAATAAGACTAGTAGTGTTCCTCCCCCACAGTGTTTTAGATATTAAAAGGTAATTAAATGATAATTTAATTTAAACCTGTTAAATGATACTGTTGTTATTGCTATTACTATCTTATTTTGTGTGTGTGTGTGTGTGTGTGTGTGTGTGTGTGTGTGTGTTGGCACAGTGTATGCATTGATCTTTGTCACTATTACTAACTTTTTTACAATGCAAGCACTATGTCAGTAACTGATTTCAGATTGCCTTTATTGGCTGAATTCAAATTTCATATATGGTTTCATTTCTTTCACATTTTATACTCAAGGTATTTCTAGGTCTCCAAACCTTCCTAAGGCAAAAGGATAGAGTTTGGGGAGTGTGTTTAGGGTTTAACTTTCATAAGAGCCATTAACAAGTACTTCCACTAGGGGGTGAGCAAGGAAAGAGGGAGGGAAGGAACAGAGTTGGGGCCAAGTCTTCTAGAGAGAGCTAACGAAGTTCAATAGAATCATAACTGGATCTGAAATAAGTTTTTATCTGTGGCACTATCAGGGCTTCCTATTTCACAGTCAGGTGTTTCTGCTAAACAAACCAAACAACAAGAAACACAGAGGGAAGCAAGAGGAGAAGGAAGGAAAGAATGCACAGGTGAACAGAAAAGAGTGGGAGGATGTGCAGAAGAACCCAGTGGCCACAGCTCCTAGTCAGCTATTGTGTTCTCAGGGCAGATAACTGAGATCAGTTTAGGAAAGGGGCGGGGAGAAAGAAAGAGAGATGAGAAAGGGGAAGAAAAGGGGGAGGAGGATGTGAGACTGGGTTAGAGAAATGAAAGAGAGCAAGTCCTGTTGGTGATACTTAGCACATTCTTCCTGAGCACAGCACACCCTCCTTGTGCAAGAACCCAGAGCTGCTGAAGGCTGGGGGCTGCAGAGGAACTGCAGAGAGACCAGCAAGCCATGGTGAGCCTTCCAGCCTATACAATCTCTAGATATTCAAATGTTTCCTGGGGCTTGAAGAGGCAGGTGGCAAGGGGTTTTAAAAAAGAGAGAAACAAACAAGCAAGCAAACAAAAAATCTTGTTTTCTCAAAGAAGTGATTCTAGACTGTTTCTTGTTGATTCCTTCCCATGGCGTTTGTGCTGAGAAGATGCTGGAAGAGGTGCCATTGAGATTATGACTTTACAGTGACACAGAGTGGCTACCTGAGAAGTGATACAAGCAAAGTGACAGCCTTAAGATGTGCAGAAAATTTTATGGATTCATTGTTTGGGCTATTCGGAATGTATTGCTTCTTTCTTGGAGCAAAGAATTGCTTTCCTTTTTTGGTGTCTAACTATATCACTCATTTATGAATACATCATGACCTAGTGTGCTAAGACAGCAAATTTGAACATCACTAGTCCATTAAACACCAACTAACGTTTAAAAAAAATGCACTCAAAATAGTGTTTAGTTTAATTTAAAGCACAGCCCAAAAGCACATAGAAAGGTTACTAAAATAAAGAAAAACATCCCATCAATATGATCAACAGCTTGGGACTGAAACATGGAGACAAAATGAAATAAAACAGCGCAGCATTTGGGAGTGAAGTTGCTGCCATTGTCTTCAGCTACGTCCCTCTAATATTTTACCTTGGATAAGGTACTAGGCTGCTGAGCTTTGTTTTATTTTAAGAAAATTGTGGGGCACTGCCTTAAGGGAATCTAAGTTTGTAGTTCTGAGTTTAAATAACATGTTCCCTTTCATTTACAGGTGTTTCCATGGAGATGCCAGAGTACTTGGTGGGGCCCATGGAGCATCCTCAAGCTGTGTGTCTGGACAGTGCTCTGTTGTGGTATGTCATTTGTATTCTGCTAAGCTTTTATACCTTGTGGTTATTCTTTGCTTCATATTCATCGAGAGTATATAGTCCAGTGGAAATAATCAGATAGATGGCTACTGATTCTTTTAAGGACTCTGTTCTTCCTCTGACTTTCAATAGTTCTCTGATCCCCGAACACCTGCCTCACATGCCACAATCTCTAGTGAAGGACACAAATCTTGAGAACCACACAATGGCCTTCCACTATGAAGGAATGCAGCTAGAGAAACCTCAAATAATACACTTACCGCTGGAACACTTGCTTTACACTCTATTTTCTATTAGTAGCTTTCTGTGCACCAAGTGAGCTTCTATGGTCATAGCATGGGTTGCCTGGGAGCTTGGTTTTAGTTTCTGTTTGGGGGCTTTTTGTCTTTCTACTGATGTTGCATGTTTTATGTTTAAGCCTTAGAGACTCTTCATCGACAAGTCTGAACTTTTTAAACCATTGCTTAAAAAACTCATGCCTCTGTCTTCCCTAACTTGGATTTTCAGCTCAGAACAAGTGAACACATACTGTCTTTGTCTTGTTAATTTTTCTTTACTTTTGAGAGTTTTGTGCATGTACAATAAAATATGATCATATCTATATGCCCTTTCCCCTTCAACTCCCCCCACCGTGTCCCTCCCAAGATGCCCCTCCCAACTTCCTGTCTTTATTTTTTTTTCTTTTTTCTTTTGATAACCTGTTAAGTCCAGTTAGTGCTACCCATATATTCATGGATGTGATCCATCCACCGGAGCATGGGAAACCTAGCAGAGCCCACTTCCTCAGCAAGAATGATGTTCTCTCCCCCCAGCAACTATGAATTGCCGATGGCTCCTCAGTAAGGGTGGGACCTGGAGACCCTCTATCCCATCTGTGCTGACCTTGTGCAAACAATCACAGCTGCCATGAGTTCAAGGGTGCATTAACCACATCATGTCTAGGAGACAGAATTTCACAGTATCCATGCCCATTCTCTGGCTCTTACATTTTTGTGTCTCTTCTGCAATGAGCCTTGATGGTTGTGGGGTTAATATAGATGTCCCATTTAGGGCTGAGCACTGAGTTTCTTATCTCCATAACTTAACAGTTATGCATCCCTCTATTGACTGCTATCTACTTCAAAAAGAAATTTCTCTGACCCAGGTTGAGAGCAGCTCAGGACTAAGGGTATAAACATGAGCATAAACATTTAGAAGGCAGTTTTGGTATTTCCCTGTAGTACTCGCCTTATGAAAAAAAAATCAATGAGCAGATGGCTGTTAAATCTTTTATCTTACTGTAAAATCTTATTTCACAGAGATCAGACCATACTTAGAAGGTCAATATCCTCATGATCAGCGTGTACAATGATGTTTTGTATTTGATTTCTTTAAAGCCCTCATGTTTGAACCCCCCCATGTTTATTGAACACCATTCTTTGAGTATCTTTGAGTGTAGAACACAATGTAACCAACTTTGTGTCCTTGCATTATTTTTATGTATATTGTTCTTTCTTTACAATGAGTTTAGATGCACAACAATTTGACAGTGTACTTCCCAATAGCAGCCTATTCTACAATAAAGCACTACCTTTTAATGTGACAAGAAAGTATTTAAAATTATGTCATTGTTCTTCCTGATCCTATTTTACTTTACCTAACAGAGAAATTTCATATGTGTACTGTGTTAACAGTAATAAATATTGGCCTTTAGGAGATTATCCAAGGATTTAGAAAGTATAGAGTGGATTTTAAAGCTGTTAGTGACACCATTTCTAAAGTCTGCTGGATAAATAACACTTGAAGGAATTTTGAGAAAGAACTTTCATTAAAGTAAAACTACAAAGATATATTTATGTATAGTAGTCCTTGAGTATGCTCCAAGTCTGCCAGTGGCTAATATTGTGAACCTGAGATGTGCACCTGCTCTTTTGGAGTCTTGTTTCTGCATCTCCGAGTGATGGGCAGCCTGCATCTGTGTCTGATCCTAGAACAGCCTATGAGTCATCACATTGTCTGGTGTTTTTCAGACTTCCTGGCGCACCATGGAACTCACTGTTGGACATACCACTATTCTGAAAAATCCATGAACTGGGAAAATGCTAGAAAGTTCTGCAAGGAAAACTACACAGATTTAGTGGCCATACAAAATAAGAGAGAAATTGAATATTTGGAGAAGACATTGCCCAAAAACCCTACTTACTACTGGATAGGAATCCGGAAAATTGGAAGCACATGGACATGGGTGGGAACCAACAAGCCTCTCACTAAAGAAGCAGAGAACTGGGGAGCTGGAGAGCCCAACAATAAGAAGTCCAAGGAGGACTGTGTAGAGATCTATATCAAGAGGGAAAAAGACTCTGGGAAATGGAACGACGATGCTTGCCACAAGCGAAAGGCAGCTCTCTGCTACACAGGTGAGCAGTGACCAGACTCCTCTCCATCTCTGATTTGGGAGGATCAAAGTTAGAATTGTCAGACTTATTACCCAGAAACTGCTAGTTCACCATGAAAAAAAATCCCAAATAAATCTTAAGCATAGCACTTCTGGGCATTCTGTATGTAAAGATGCTCCCTATGCTCAACAACTAGGTCAAGTTCTATCCAGGTTGCCAGTATGTTATGTGAGAAATAGGGTTAGACAGCCTGTGTCCTGGTGACTGGCAGGAAGACGGTGCTGAGAGTTGGATGGTTTTTCAAGGTCTTCCGCTAACACCTCCAAAACCATATAAAGTGTTACTATGAGTTAATTCATTCTAAAACCAAATAAATATCTATGCCAAATGGCTAGACTAGCCCATAAATAAAAATTTTAGCATGGACTATTATGCAAAAAACATTGTTGAATACTTAAGCAAATCTTTCTTGTGTGAAGAAGGGACTATGGATGCAATCCCACCAAAATGTCTTTGTCTAATCTGTTTATAGCCTCTTGCCAGTCTGGGTCTTGCAGTGGCCATGGAGAATGCGTGGAAACCATCAACAATCACACCTGCAACTGTGACGAGGGGTTTTACGGGCCCCAGTGTCAGTATGGTAAGCCTCCTCCTTTCCGTTTGTCTGTTTTTTCCTGTCAAAAGTCACCAGAACCATAGTAGCCTAGGATGGCAACTGAATGGGACAAAACGATACTGCGGGAACAAAACAATATTGGCCATTCTAAGAAATGGGAAGTTCTGAACAGAAAGTTGGGTTTTCACAATGTTATCTTCCTGTAAAGATTTCATAAGTCAACATGCAGTTTCAATTTACTTCACACATGTTTTTGAAGTACCACAAGGGACAGGGTGTTAAGATTTGCCAAAGCTGAGCAGATTGCAGTAAGAAACCAGGTGTTGAAGATCTTGCCAGTCAAGGATGTAATAATCTAATGAGCTTGCTGGATTAAGTAGAACTCTGAAGTCTGACAGAAACAATGATATTTGTCATTAGGAGAATGAGGGATCTGGAAGGCCCTCCTGCTCTTCTATAGACAGACATGGTGAAGAACAGTAAAGGAAGAACTCACATATGATACATAGATGACGTCATGGTTATCTAATAACAAATCCTATGCACTAAATTTGACTGCGTATTTCTGAATTGTTAAAGATTGTGTACTTATTGGATTTACATTTAATTAATAGAAATCATGTAAGTCCATTGATCAAGTTTGATGAAAGGTGATACGAACAGGAATAAGCTCATGGGGAGAGCTCCTAATAAAGTCGCTTGTCCTTTATTTGTAACGAGTGGCTACTCAGTGTCTCGCCACCAACACCGAGGACAATTATCCTAGAAACAACACAGCTCTGCAAGGATTGCCAAGAAAGAGGGGATGGGAAGAGTCACTGGGAGCCTTACGGCATCTCTCAGAGATGTGGTCGTAGATTGGAAAGGAGAGCATGTACATGTGCAAAGTCAGAGGCTTGGACTCAGCCAACTCCGCCTGAAAGGAGTATTGGATCTTTTAATTGGGGCTGGCTGAGTTTCAAGATGTGTTTGATGTGTCTAACACATACAATGGAAAGTTGTAAGAAGAAAATTAAAGTTTTTGAGGAATAAAGGACTGAAACTAAAATTAATTTCGGTATTAACCACCTGGATTAGATCTGACTAATTCACTTATCCCCAAAGCTGTGCCTCTTCCCATACAGTGTACCTCCACAGTATTATTGGTCCGCCCGTCTATTTCACTCCTTTTTAAACCTCGTCTTTTCTCTCTTGCTTCCAATCATATCCTTTTCTGATGTTTTTTAAGTATAACAATTTCTCCTGGGGTCTTCCTCGGTACTTATCCAAGGCCATGAACCCTTAGTCTCAGCATCTATCTTTTCTGTTGTTATTCTGATTTGTTTCTTTCATTAAATTTCCTAAATTTTGCGGATTTATTCTATCTATATGATCTTTGGAATGACAACTCTGTATTCAGCTATGGCCTCCACCTATCCTAAGGATGTTGTCTTGGATGTGTTGTACAAGTTAAGTGCCCCCAGCCACTTTTCTTTTGTGCGGTTTTAACCACATTACATGGAAATGACACTAGTGTAAAACTTTCACCTCCTCCAACACTTGGGGATGATAACCTAACGCTAATTCAATTTTCAGAAAGGCCATTGATTTTATAGGGCTGAGAGATGGTTTAGCTGAAGAACACTAGCTGCTCTTGTAGCAGCCCTGAGTTCCATTCCCAGCATCCACATGATGGCCCACAGACATCTATAGCTCCATTCCAGAAGAGACAATACCCTCTTCCAGCCTCCTTTGGCTCCAGGCACACAAATAGTGCACAGATACACGTGCTGGCAAAAGACCCGTATACGAACAAATCAATAAGATAATTTTCAATTGTTTTAGTTTCCTGGCACCACCATACCGGCACATGATGCACCGTGGCTGCATTCACCTCCTTTCCCAATCCTACTTCTGCCAATCTCCACTCTTCTTCCCAACCAGTGCCCTTGTTAACTACGTATTACAACTCAGGATGTCTCTAGTTTCTCTTCTACTTGTCTACTCCTCTTGCCCTTGTTGTTTCTCTCCTGTTACTGCTGTAGTCCCCAGATGAGCTCCAGAACTTTAAATTAGCTCCCTTCAAGTAAGTCACTCATAGTGCAGGCAGGCTGACCAATGAAAAAGAATCAGACATACCAGACACATAAGACCACTCACTCATTTATCCCTATTATTTGTCTTGGTGAAATCTGAGCTCTTTAAGTTGAGGAATGATGCTTGATACGTAACAAGTGCTCACTGAGGGGTGAAGACGATGAACACCTTGTCTCTGTTCCTCTCCTTATGTCAGTCTCAACGGTTGGCAGTTTTCTACTTTCCACATATACTTTGTGTTCTGTTGACATTGTATAAGATCTTCTTTCTGATTCTGCATGTGGACAACACATCTGATCATCTTTAAAACATAGTTCAGAGACCATTTCTTCCTAGAATACTTCTTTAGACCCCAGTACAGACCAGAGATTATCAAGCGGAGACAAGACTCAAATCCATCTGAATCTCATAGCTCTTTCCAACCCTGCTACTCTCTCTATTAATAAAGTGGTCCAGTGTGAGCCATTGAAGGCCCCAGAACTGGGTACCATGGACTGCACTCACTCCTGGGGACACTTCAGCTTCCAATCACAGTGTACTTTCAACTGTTCGGAGGGAACAGAGCTTCTTGGGACTAGAGAAACCCACTGCGGATCGTATGGAAACTGGACATCCCTAGAGCCTGTCTGTCAAGGTGAGTGACTTTAGGTGGGAAAGTTTGCTGTGGCAAGCTTGCACCTATAATCTGAGAAAACACAGGGGAGTCTTGAGTAGAAGCCTGTCTCTTCTTCTGCTATAAAATTCAACACAACTTTGATTGTAGTTTGATGCTTTTCAAGAGTTGTGTTTTTCCTTACTAAAATGAAAGGCAAAACTCCAAAACAAACAAGTAAAAAACAAACAAAAAAAACCCCCCAAAATCTTTAAAGCCACCTGACATTTTATAATGTGACTTATGGCAATCCATTGAAGTTATACTCTATATTTTATTTTTCTCATTGTCATCGCATAAAGCCTTGATGAACCTCTGTTGAGTTTTGGTTCTTTCCTTCCAAGAACACCCATTTTATGTGGTGCCTTACTTAGCACCAACCCGTTTCCTTCAGAGGTAGTAGAGGTCTTTCTTGGTTGTTTCATTTGGCATGTTTTAGACGTCGTCATTTATTTGTCTTTCTCCTGTGTGACTCTCAGGAGAATAACAACTGCTGTGAAAACAAAGGCCATGCTCTCTGTTTGCATTTGAAACAGAGTAGGTTTCATCGTGTTTTGGCTGACAAGTTTTGCCACACATTGATGGAAAAAAAAACTGGTTGGGTTTGTATGTATGAAGTTCAGGTTGTGCTGTCTACATTTATATTTCTGGTTTCCTAGTTCAATTCTCTAATGAAAACCAAAAATCCATCATTGAAATTATAGAACTGAATCAATGTAAGGGATGAATTCTATAAAGTTAAGCCGACTTAGGGGAATGGGGATGTCTGTCAAAACTGCTTGACTGGATGTCACGATCCATGAGAAGGTTGACATCTTTGAGATCACCGAGAATGTACCATGCAAGCTCTTACATTTGTCCAAGGTTGCATGGTCTGACATTTCCAGCAGGGTTGGCACAATGCCTTGCTAAGGCAGCAGCCTGGAATGGCTTACCTTGTACCACCATGGGCTATCAATATCTTGTTGGCTCCACCCCTGACAAATTGTTACTCAATCGCACATTAAGAAAACAATCCTGGAAGCACTGTCAAATGCAATTCCTACAAATTAGAAATTTCTAGGTTCACATGGATGGTTCCAGTGATGAAGTCTGGTGGCTTCAGTCTAAAAGTCTTGACTGGGGGCTGGAGAGAAGGCTCAATGCTTAAGAGCACTTGCTCCTCTAGCAGATGACCTGGATTGGGTCACAGTAGGTAGCTCAGTATCAGCTGAAATTCCAGTTGAAGATACTCCTATGCAGCATATGCATACATGCAGGTACTCATGTGCATAAAAGCTAAAAACCAAATGAAACAAAAAGCCTCAAGACTAACAATGAGATTGAGAGTGGAATTAGAGAAGCTACAGCAAGTGGTTTGAATGTGGTCAAACTACAATCCATATATCGTCTATAGAAATGCCATGATGAAATCCATTATGATACATAATTAGTTTAGGCTAATAAAAGCTTGGAAAATGCCTTTGGTCACAAATACTGTTTTGTTGTTGCGTTGCCACTGAAGTGACTCAGTGCCAGCCTCTCACAGCACCTGACCTGGGAACGATGGAATGCAGTCACCCCCTGGCCAACTTCAGCTTCACTTCTGCCTGTACTTTCACCTGCTCAGCAGGAACTGACTTAATTGGAGAGAGAATAAGTGTCTGCGGGACAGCTGGCATCTGGTCTAGTCCTCGTCCTCTATGTCAAAGTAAGTAGTTATGCTCAGAAATACTAAGACTTAAAGGTGGCACTGATCAACTAGTAGGTGGGAAAAATATAATACACATTCAAATTCCATTTCCTTCAATACATGTGGCCTAAAAAAGAAATTTATATGCATTCATGTACTATAAAATCCTTGGCTATTCTCAGCCTCTGCTTTAATGATAATTATTTTATTTTTTCAACCTTAACTGCCCTCTTACTTTTAAACCCTTTGTCTATTTATTTGTGGATTATCCATATCTTCAATTCCACCACAACCTGATTTCTCTGTTAGTCCTTTGAGATGCCTTTTCAAAGGTCACCAATAACCACCTAACTCCCAACACAATGGACAGTTCTCCATTATCTTAAGCTGATTCTACTAAATCTATCTGTGCATGAGAACCATGTCTTCTTCATCTCTGTGTATATACTCCCTAACAGAGTAGAAAAAGATAAGATCTCCTGAGTAAATTGGGAGCATGGGCACCTTGGGGGAGGATTGAAGGGGGGGGAGAGGCAGGGAGGGGAGAGAGAAAAATGTAGAGATCAATAAAATAAAAAAAAGCTAAAATAACGGTGCATTAAATCAGCTTATGAAATGACAGCTATCAATGTCTGCCCTGATTCCGTCTGCACAGAGTACAGAAATGATAGGCTCCGAAGAAGCTGTCAAGGAAGATCTCGGGGTGTTCAGAGTAGAGTGGGGTAGGGTGTGGGCAGGGAGGGGCAGAGCAGAGGTACAGTAAGGCTGTGTGCCAGGCTCACTAAGTACATTTCCTTTTAAGTCTACTGAGTTTTCATTTCCTCATCTTTCGCAAGCCAACAGTTGCCAATATATAAAAGTAGATTCCTTCATCTGGAGGTATCAGAAGACAGACTCTTTTTTTCAGATGAATATTCTTTTCAAAAAAGGCTGTAAACAAGACTAGTTTGCATTTGCAAAGGGATATGTAGAGGTGTCCTCTTAATTTATTTGGATAGAAATGAAGGGAAGTGGTACAAGTGTTTCCCTTTAGATCATTGCAGATCCTGGACATATAGACACTGTAACATTTTCGCACACCTCCTGTAAACTAAGGAGTTGGAATGGCTTCCTTTGATTGACAAGTTGCCCAGCTCAGATGGCTGACTTCCTTTTCCTTGCAGTTCTATGTTAAGCTTGTAGCCCTTCTCTATGCTCAGAAGTCAGTTTTTAAATGATACCAGGGACAGAACATCACGGTAATTACTTCTTGTCGGTAATTTTAGCCTCATCTCCAGGAATTCCATGGATTGCAGATCTGAGAAGTGTGTTCTTGTAAGCACTAGGCTAGAGGCGAGCCCTGTCTCATACCCATCATGGACCTTGCCACGCTACTTTCCTCATCTGTGGTAGATGTTATCACTGGGGGACTATCAGGAGAGCAAAATGACAAATATCATGAGCTGGACTATGGGAATAATGCTTTGGTCTCATAGCATATGCTTTAATGACTCCTCTTTCAGAGACAGACAGAAGTTTCTCAAAGATCAAGGAAGGCGACTATAACCCCCTCTTCATTCCGGTGGCTGTCACCGTTACTGCATTCTCGGGGCTGGCATTTATCATTTGGCTGGCAAGGAGGTTAAAAAGAGGTAGGTGTGCTCAATAACATCAAAGTAAAACAATTTTAAAGTGGAAAGAGAAGAGAAAAGAAACCCCACAGGAAATAAAGTGCAAGAGGTTTAGCTGAAGCAGGTGCCAAGCAACTTCTATGCTCTGTAGGCAGAAGTCCCTGGAGACCCTGAACTTGACATACATATTTATTTAAAAGAACCAGCCAATGGTTCACACTAGGTAGACCTTCTCATGAAGGCTTACTATGAGGAGCTTGCCAGATGAGACATTGTAATGACTCTTTGGTCCTATAGCTGTTTGAAGAGAAGATGCATTTGCCACTGTCTTTCGGGACCCTAGATGACTTTGATCTTAGCACTACAGTATCATTGGGAAGTGAATCTATTATTATCTAAGGTTTTTAAACATCTGATCTCCCTGGGAGTCACATAACTGTCTGGGTATTGACATGTGGAAGTTGTATTGCCCTTGGAAGAAATTCTTGTGGATTCTCTCTAGAATCTCTTCACTGAGGCTGTAACCTAGTATACCTAGTATACTATATATATATATACATGAATGAAAGAAGTTGGGGAAAGAAGAAAAGGGGAAAAGCTTCCTCAAAACTTTATTCTTTGTCACCCCACCAGGAAATAGATGGAACACTACACAAGAACACAACATTGTTCCTTTGGCTCCCTTTCTCTCTTTTGAATATTCTTTTGCCTTCAGGTGAGATCAGTATACCAGCCATAGGCCCACAGTCTGCAGCAGGCTTTGGGTGTTGACTGCCACCTTTGTCCAAGTTCATCCAACAGATCTATTCAAAACTGTAAAATGCATAGACCCCTCTAGCTTTGAGATCCCCAGTATTAAGGTCAGGGGCTATGAATGACCTGAAAGCAATTGCTGACTCCTGTGCGCTTCTTCCTGTGATGTAAGCTGATGGCCACTTACGTTTCCCTTCCACTGGAGCCATTAGTGTGTGTTTCACTAACTATAATGGGTCACACTGGACAGTTTAAACGTCTTTTCTGTTGATAGAAAGTCCATGAGTTCGGATACTACCACCACACAAGACTATTCTAAATAATGACTCCAGCACCAGCACAAAATAAAGAATGACATTTTTCTTTCACCACTGATTAGTCTTTTCACCGAGGTGTCAAACCTCACTTTGACTGTCTGGCTGCCTTGAATGGAGAACAAGGAAGCCATTCATTACACATGCTCCCTGAATAAGGTGGGTATTAGCTCAATAACTCCAAGGCTGTTACGTCCTATTAATAAGAAGGGTAATGACCCCCCCAAGTTCCATTCCTTCCTAGGTGATTGTAGATACAAAGGAATGGAATCCAAGTCCCATGAGCTTGGTGGGTGCCAGCTAGCTACGGCTGCATTATGCGTGCCTTGAGAAGAGCTGTGGGTTGTTTTCAAAGCTTTAACCTTGGAGTCAGTCATTTCTGTACAAGATCTCAAACTGATAACCTGAAAATGGCATGCCCCTGCTGGGGGAATCAGAGTGGGGCAAACAGGAAACAGATAACGGGCTCTTGGGCTAGTGACAGTTATGCCACCAAAGAGAGTTGCCAGCTCCCAGAGATCACTGGCTCTGGAGGGAAATTCAGAGTAACTATGTTGTCTTTAATAGCCTTCAGCTGTCAAACATCTACTGATCTCTCCCGCTTTCAAGTGAACGACTTTGTCCTCCAAAAATTTTAGCCGTAAGTTGGCTCTTTACAACATGGATAGTATCCCTTTCTTCCCCCTGGAGAGACACTGGTAGAATTGGTAGCTAGGCTACCAAGTAAAACCCACAGAGATCAAACAGACACATTTATAAGAATCATAGTGAAAATAATGATTCTGTAATTATGCATTATTACACACATGTTATAGGTTTATTTGGGTTAATCAAACAGGGAAGGGGGACAGGTGGCAATTCAGAGTGCGAGAGCCAATGAAAGGTGCAAACTCTGTTCTTTCAGAGGGATCCTATGAACCTGGTGCAAGGGCTGCCCGTGCCCTAATCATCTTGGGGTCTAGTTAGTCTTTAGCTCTCTTTTCCTGGGTCCATAAACAAGCGCTCTGGCTGTGGGCTCAGCGGAAACACTCGGTACTCCTAGACTTTCTCGTTCTCCAAGGCGATGACATTTTTAGGCCAAACTCTAAAACTGTTCATTAGCAGCAGTTTGAGTCAGAGATGCCCCTTCCACCCCAAACAAAAAGCGTTTGCCTTCGGGTTCATTAGGCTGTTTGTTACTCGGGTGGAAGAGTTTTCCACCTGACCCAACACACAGGGTTGCTCCAGTACACGAAACTGAACATGGTCTCCCTCAGTTCTCTTTTCTTTTAAGACACTCCCTCAGTAGAACCAGACACTTCCTCAGCAGGACAAGACACCCCCTCAGTAGAATAAGATTTTGTTTATCTGTTGTCATTGTTTTCATTGCTGCTAAAAGAAAAAAACTTCTGTGAAGATGAACAAATGGACTTGAACTTGATTATCCCCAATCAATGTATTTGGTCCATATCATCTGAAAGCTAAATTTTCAAAGAAAATGGTTTTGCAATACCATTTTCTAGAACTTTAAACATATTTTTGAAAGCAATTGGAGCAGTGTATAGTATATGTCAGGCCTTAGCCTAAACATTGTAAATACCTCTTCTTTAATTAACCCAATAAGAAAGCTAAAATCTGTGTGGGGCAGTTCTAGAATACTAGCTTACGGTCGCAGAAATACACAAAATCCATTCCCCTCTCAAAGAGCCTTTTTCCTCAGAGAGCTTTCTTTCTATTTTTTTTCCTTGTCTTTCTGACAGACATCAGTTCATCAGACCATCAAGTAATCAATCTTTACTTTCTTCTCCACTAAAAAGAATGTGATTCGGTTCACAAAACGTTTGATACAGTCAACCAAAATTACCTAAACAGCAAGGAGAAGAAAAACCCAATCGAGTAAGCAAAACTAAGTTGGAACCGAGGCTTATGTTAGCACACAAATGTGTGTCATGGAGTGCTGTCCACTTGACAGAAGTGATTTTCAGATCTAGCTCCCAGGCAGCCCATCAAAAGAGAAAGGAAATGAATTGATGAGATATGAATTGTACATATGATTGCATAAGTAGGTGAAAACACATTAGTTACTCATGTTAGGCTGCACGGTTCCCACTGATTTCTACTGACTAACCAGGCCAGAGTAAAATTCTCAAGATACACTTAAGAGAAGCTGAGCGACCTTGACCCATTTGTTTACAGGGTTGAGACCTAAGTCCTTTAGGGAGGGAATGGAGGCAGAATGAAATGCAATAGAAACTTACGAATGGGACCCTGGGCCTGATCAGGAGGGAATTCAGCCCAGGCTCTGGCTTCATGAGCAGCACAGCAGGTGGAATGGAGTCCCAAAAATCACCTGCATCATACTGCAGCACCAAATGCTCGCTGGTATCCAGAGCCACTTAGTCACACGTGGGTACCTTCTTAGCAAATTCATAACGCACTTCAAAAGACAGTCATAGGGATAGGCACAGCCTTTACTTTCAAAACTGAAATGGTCTACTTTTTAATGATACCATTTTTCTATTCTCTCTTCTATTTTTAGGCAAGAAATCTCAGAAAAGGTAAGTATTTCGATGAAAAATGTCCACATATATTTGTCTCTGTTTTCCATAGGGTGCTTTCTGTTATAGACAGAACAAGCCCATGGTAGTTATTTACACAGGGGTCTCATACTAATGGCATTTCCAGGTAAGGTGGTCAAGTACTGGCTTCTATTAAAAACTTTATGTCTTTGATGCTAGTGGAATTAAATAAATGGATGTACAAATATGTCTATTAAGAAAGGAGATTTCCTATGATGGGAATGTTTCCTGGTTGTCTCTGAATTTTCCTTGAGGGTTAGAAGCACGTTGTTATGTTTCTTCTTTACTATACAGGACCAACATCTAAATAAGCAAGAAGCATCCAATTCAATGAGCATTTCCAATAACTAGCATATCTGTAAAAAGGGACTGCCCAGCCACAGGCCTTTATACTTAACACAAAAGGGTGATCGGCTACTGTTCTAATAAGCACCTGCCTTCAGAAGCAAGGGAAAGCTGTGGAGTGTGAAATTTCCTCTCCTCCCTAAAGAAGCATTTGCCCAGTTTGTTCTCAATGTTCTAGTTCTTTCATTAGACTGATAGCAATAGAGTGTAGATCGCGGAGGAAAAACACAGGCACATGGAAGTGCCTGGCCTACCTGTTAGGAAGGAAGAAAAGGAAGATAAAAAGAGGTGGCCAGAGACACAGACACAGATGAGGGAAGATGAAGAATAACTAGGGATCACAGATACTAAGGAAAGACAAAAGTGGTAAGTCTTAAATTCAGACAGAAGAACTGTCTGATTTCCATTGGTTGCTTTAAGGACATCGGTGGGAAGGCCATTTTCACTTCATAGAACAAGACAGAAGTCAGCTGTGGAAGGGATGAGGACAATCAGTCAGCTGGAGGCAGAACGTGTTCTGCTTTCTTTAGAATTTGCCATGAAGAAGGGGAGAGTGATAGCGGTGGGGACATGGGATCAGTGGAGTCTTCTTACTCTGTAATTATGTGGATGGAGTCCTAGTAAGAAAAGGGTCTCTGTGGGGACTGGCCTCCTATCTCTGTAGCAGGAAACCCACAGGATGTAAAGATTTCTTGTGTTCCCACCCACTGAGTGAAAGTCTGCTGGTACATTCTATCTACCCAGAGTGGTGTTCTGGCCACAGAAACACCTGCTTTGATAGCTCCAGCACAAAAGTAGTGCGGTTCATTTTAAGGATTGGGAGGCCAGCTGAAGATGCTGACCAAAAATAGCGTAAAATTAGTTACTGATTGTTTATTAGTTTTTTTACAATTACTCAATTAATAGTTGTTTATTGAACTTTTTTTTTTTTATTTTTCAAGACAGGGTTTCTCCGTAGCTTTTTGGTTCCTGTCCTGGAACTAGCTCTTGTAGACCAGGCCGGCCTACAAGACCAGAACTCACAGAGATCCGCCTGCCTCTACCTCCCGAGTGCTGGGATTAAAGGCGTGCACCACCACCGCCCGGCTACTGAACATTTTTGTATATTGGAACAATGTTAAGCGTTAACGAGACACTCAGAGCAATAAATCATTGACTCCAACCTCGGGGAAATTATTATCCAACTGGGGAGTTAAGACAAAAACAAGACAAAAGACAAAGCAGAAGTGCAGAGCAATAAAAGCCAGGAACAGTAATGGTGATGAATTTTGTACTGAAGAGAAATCATTGGTCTAAGTGATCACAAAAAAATCTGGGTGATTTGGCAGAATCTCGGAGAGAATCATCAAAAGGTTCAGGATAGGAAATAAATGAGATAACAATGGCAAAGTCAGGTGGGCCTAAAGCAAATCGGGGGGCCAAAAGTGGAGTTTCCTAGAGCCCCTGGTTTACTGAGGATCTGTGCAACAGAAGCTGAAAGGCTGTCTCCCTCACACCCCCATGTGTCCAGGGCACTTCACCGCCAAGTGGTCTGGCTGCCTTGTGACATCTCTCATTGATTAGCTAAGGTGATCCTTCTTCATAAAACTTTAGGCTAGGAAGATGGAGGACATCTTATTGAAACTATCTTGGTGATTAAGTAAATAACTTACCTGCAGGCCATGAGCCAGTGACAGAGTTGCAACAATAAACACAGATAAAGATCAACTTTGATCAGATATACTTTCTTGTTGCCTACTCTTCTGAGTGTTTTAAGTCCCAAATGATTAAATATTGCCTACAAGTCAGTGTAGGGAGGGAACACTGCTATCCCTAATTACATTAAAGAGACAGAAGAAGGGGAAATGGCAGTAGCTTAAGGGAAGTCATTGAATAGGGGGAGAAGCTGACATCTGTCACACCCGCATCCAGGGATAATGCTCTGATAACTATTTTGCTTCTAGTGCTCAGGCTCCTTGACTTCCAGGTTAGAGTCGTTAGGACCAGAGGCCCTCCTCTTCCAGTAATGTGATTTATTTTCACACTAAACTATTGTGTGATGGCACTGAGGAAGGGTGGGGTGGAAGAAATAGGGTGTGTCTCTAGAGCAAGCCAAGGGGAAGATGAATACTATCACACTAAACACCGAATGACTTTTTTTCTCACTGTGGTTGATTCTCACTGTTCTTTGCACTCACTCCTATTAGTGTTTGGCTAATGAATGAATGACTCCTTGGGCATTTGTGGTTTTGATTCTTGCTGGTTATTTTGACTCTTCTGCAAACGGGTTCTGTTTGTCACCTCATTTGGTTTCTAGTTTCTAAATTCTACCTGGGTAAAAGCTACGCCCAAGATACACAGGAAGATATGATGCCAACCTCAGAGGAGGAGGGTGCGTGTGAAATTCTGCTTTCAGAGACATTTTTATTTCTACCCTGGCAGCAAGTCTGCAGCTGCCCTGGTGGTTTACCCTGACACTTCATCACGAGACCAGAGCCTCAGAATCTGGTTCTCCTTTTGCAAGGTGCAAAGACACAGAAATGTGGTTCTCCTCCACCCTTCCCAAGAATGGCACAGCTGAAACAGAGAATACAGGGGCACCCATATTCGTGAATCTAAATTTGCCATCAAGTCTCTAAGTCATGTTCCACCAGAATCTGGCATTTAGAACAAATACCACTGTTTCCATGGGTTTTCATTTTCTCTGATCTCATGTTCCATTTGAGCACATATCATCTTCCATGTCCCCTCCTCTCCACTGTGATTCAGCACACAGTGTCCTTCAAATATTAGATGTGGAAGTTAGCAATGTTGCAGAAATACTACCAGATGTGATCTGTGGACCAGCAGATGTTCCAGTGTGAGCATCTGTGAGGAGCTTCTTAGAGAATCGGGACTTCCGGTGGAATTAGAGCTGACATTTAAAGTATTTACTTGGAGGAGGGATGGGGTTGGGGATGGTGCAGAGAGCTGACTCAGCAGCCAGGAGTGTACTGCTCTTGCAGAGAATCCAAGTTCAGATCCTAGCATCTGCACTGGGTGGTTCACAACGGCCTGGATCTCCAACTCCAGGGACTCCAACACCCTCTTCTGGCCTCCTCAAACAACTTCACTCATATGTGCATACACACACACACACACAACTAAAATAACTCTTTAAAACATTAATTTGGGGGTGGTAATACATGAGGGTGTAAAATGTTGCTCTAGTGTCTCTTCTCCAGTTGTTTAAAAAGATTCCATACCCTGTCCACAATTCCCAACGGGAAGCAGTTCCTCGCTCCTCTTCTTCATGTTAGTGGCCCCTTACCCCTTACTTCCGTGTTTGCAATTTCCTTGCCTCTCTCACCTAAAAATATTCATCTATATTAGTAACATTTTAATATTTTCCATTTTTAAAATTCTCCTTAGTTTAATTTTTGTAATCTTTTGTTTCTGTTTCAGGATGGATGATCCATACTAATTCATCCTCTATGAAAGGAAAAGTCACAAGGTGCCCCCCCCCAAAAAAAAGTTTGGAAACAACTTCAAATCCTCCCTCAAAGATTTTGCACACAGGCATCACCCACAGTGAAGATGAAATGTTTGCTTCAGGGTTATCTGGAAGGATTTCTACGTGATCGACAGATCCTCTAGCCTCCTCGCTGCTCACTCAGCTCCTTGACCCTAGCCTGTAATTTTTGTTTATATAGTTCAGGATTTTATTACCTTTTCTGTGGAGAGAAAAAGGGTTGCTCTGGGGTATGAAGAAGTCTGACCTTGCTCTTTCCTGATTCCTGTTTCCTACTTCAGTTCAGTACTGGATCTGATACCAAACACTGAAAATTTGATAACACATGTAACTGAACCGGATTCCTTGCACACAATCCACAAACTATGAAGAAGATGATAAAAACCGTTGTTTTCCACCTCCAAAGAAGGCTGTTTTGTTCAAGTTAGACAAGTTTCATTTGCACTGTAGTGGAAGCCACCGTGGCCATTCACACTCACCTTCCCCGTGTCCTTTCCTTAGCTGGCTAACTTCCACACATAGCATCTCGTAGCCACGGAACAAATAAGAGAAAATCACCTTTACTGACTGTTAGTTTTGAAGTTTCCCTTCTCTTTAGTACATCTCTTTAGGTTCTTTGAGGTCAGGGTTCTGACGACTACTTACTGTTAATAATGACATGACCCACTATCTTGGAATGTAGGTAATAAATATATTTCTGATATTATGAAGGTGAGTTAAAACAGGTAGAAAGATTCCTGGGCTCATGCTGGAATGACACCTTCCCCGTGCCCTAATATCTCCTACTCAGAAACATGAATTCTAATTTTAAGTTTTAGGACAGCTGTCCTTGTCCCTTGCTGCTTCTTTTATAGCTAGCTCTTTAGCTCACCCAGCCCACAGGCTATGGTGTTTCTCGGCTTCACTCTGGACGGTGCATTTAAACACAGCCCATTTTAAAAACTGTTCGGTAGCCTGTTTTTTGTATATGAGAATACATGTTGTTTTCCCCTAGATAACATTGTACATCTCTTGAGGGAAGAGATTGCACCAGATCTCTGGAGTTCCTAGTTCGTTACTTGAATGAATGAAATTTATGCTTGGCAATGCTGAAGCATATGTGGGCAGCCCGTATATGACGGTTCTGTTGAACTTGTCCATATTGGGTTTCATGATCTAAGTTGATGAGGATGACTGACCAGGCCTCTTCCTCAACAGTGCACCAGATCACATTACAGATGGTGTGAGTCACCATGTGATTCCTGGGAACTGATCTCAGGACCTTTGGAAGGGCAGGCAGTGCTCTTAACTGCTGGAGCACAGTCCATGGATAAAGTTGTGTGAGGCGATTTCTGAGAGCTTGTGAGAACACTCCAACTACAGAAGAGACCTGTAACCTCCATCCCTGTGTAACGTGCATTTGTTCTCAGAATGTGCTGTCAAGCCTGTCCTGGTGTAAATAGGAGTGTGTTTACTTCAAATTACCCATCATTTTACTCTTACAATTTAGATGATATTTCCAAGCACGGATTGTCCTCGTGACTGTATACGGCTTGAACTAATGTAGCCTTGCCCGAGACTGTATAAGCCAAAAAAAAAAAAATGTGACCTTCCTAAACTCATGTGACCTTGCCCTCATGACTGCATAGTGCCTGAACTCTCAAATTGCTCGTATGACTTTGCCTAACCCTCAGAAGAGAAATTTCTTGATGCTCTGAATAAAGATGACGATGGCCTGAGACTTTAGTCCACTTTACTTTTAGTCTCTACTCTCCAAGGTTCACAGCGCCCACTAGAGCTGTAGCAGTAAATGGGTAAAATGCGTTCAAATAGATTAGAAAAACTCTACAGGTGCCGTGATAAGTATTCAGCTAACTTCAGCACCGGAATCCCTACAGGAAGGCAGTACATTGTAAGAAACCGACTGGAATTGGATGTGGTTGTGTATGCTTTCAATCTCAGCACTTGGGAGGCAAAGACTGAGGTAGGCGGAGGTCTGTGAGCTCAAGGCCAATCTGGTCTACATAGTGAGTTTCAGGCCATCCAGGGCTACTAAGTAAGAGCAAAACAAACAACAAACAAATAAATAAATGGTGAGAACTAACTAACTAAATAAATAAATAAAAGAAGGAAGGGAGGGAGGGAAGGAGGAAGGGAGGAAAAGAAAGAGAAAAAGAAACTGACTGGAAATATTTTTCCTGTTTCATGGCCAATGCTGCTTTTACGCACATTTTCACATCTTGTGAGACTATATTTTTAAACAAGGACTTTTTTTCTTTCTTCAAGTCATTTCAGATTCTATCACCATTGCAAAAGACCTTTCATCTTGTGTGTTTACTAGCAGGTATCAATCCCACTCACATAGCTTAGGGTGCACCCTTCAGAGAAGTGTGGTGTCCAGAGAGCAGACTCATGCTCACAGCCCTGCCTGAGATGCTTCGTCACTTCAAACATCAGGGGCAAGGGACCAAAAAGAAAGAGAAGTACGGTCTTCTGTTCATGACATAAGGTTAATATGTGATTTTAAGAATTTTATTACAATGTTGAGATAAATCCCCTTCAAGACTGAGCTCCTTACATTGAGATTTAGTTAATTTGCTTGTAAAATAAGGAAGTCTACCTGTTTACATCATAGGGTTATTGTGATGTTGTGTCAAGGGTTATTGTGAAACTGCTTTGTAAACTGAAACCTTGTTTTGTTTTTGAAAGAAAAGTTATAGTCAGCTGTATTTGGTTCTAACCTGGGTCTCTAGGTTGTCCTGCCTCTGGCTCCTGGTCATCCAGGCAGTGTCAGCTGTGGGCTCCCTCTTGTGGTTTGGACCTCAAGTTGGAGTAGTCGTTGGCCACTCCCACAAGTTTTGTAACCACCATGACCCAACACAGCTTGCAGGCAACACAGATTGTAGGATGAAGGTTGTGTGGCTGGGTTGGTGTCCTGGTCTCACTGCTAGGAGCCTTGCCTTGTTCTAGAAGATGGCCAGTCCAGGCTCTACATTCCCCTATTGCTAGAAGACTCGCTAGAGTCACTCTTGGAGATTCCAGGGAGTTTTCACTGCACTAGGCTTCTACATCCGCCTCCAAATAACCCAATTCGGGTCATCTTTTCCAGTACTCTCTCCTTTTTTCCTCTCAGCCCCACCTGATCCCTCCTGCTCCCATCCCACTGGCACTGAGTCCACTCACAAAATCTATTCTATTTCCCCTTCCCAGGGAGAGTCATGTGTCCAAACATGACTGACAAGAAAAAAAAAATCAAAGAAATGATTCCCAATGATTTCCTGCTATATTCATAGATCTGTGCATGTTGTTATAAGAGGGGCAGAAACTAATGGGAGCAGCTGCAGAGACCTACAGGCAGAACAGGGGAATCCCACAGAATGTTGGGAGGAAGGATTGAAGGAGCCAGAGGACTCTAGGACATCACAAGAACATGGCCCATAGAATCAACTAAGCAGGGCTCATAGGGACTCACAGAGACTAAAGGAATAACATGGACCTTTATGGGTGTGAGCAAGATCCTCTGCATACACTTTAGGGATATGTAGTTTGATGTTCTTGTGGGACTCCCAATAATGGGAGTAGGAATGTCTCTGACTCTTTTGCCTGCAATTGGGGCCCTTTTCTTACTGCTGGGTTGGCTAGTCCAGCCTTGATATGAGGGTTTGTGCCCAGTCTTAATATATCATCTTAGGATATCCCTAGGAGGCCTTGCTTTTTTGTTTGTTTGTTTGTTTTGTTTTGTTTTATTTTTTAAGACAGGATTTCTCTGTAGCTTTGGAGCCTGTCCTGGAACTAGCTCTTGTAGACCTCGAACTCACAGAGATCCGCCTGCTTCTGCCTCTGGAGTGCTGGGATTAAAGGCATGCGCCACCACCACCCGGCTTGTTTTGTTTTTTAAAGGGAAACAGAGAAGTGAAAAGAAATGTTCCTGGGGCCTGTTGCTATGCAGACAAATATCACTGTCTTAAAGAAAAGCAGAGAGAGGCTTTTCTTTCAATTTCAAGCTAAAGCTCACGAAGCTTGTACCGCAGTCTTTGGAAAACGAGAGCAAGAGAGGGAGAAAATCACAGCTGCATCTGGAAGACAAGTATATCTGATGATTTAAGAGGGGGGAAAATGGAAGCAGGAGATGCAAGTCATTAAATGTAATTATCCAGGCACGAAGATGATGAGCCAGGAAGGTCCCTAGGAGGCATCCTGAAGCCTTTGTTCTCTGATGAGTGGGAGGGTGGAGAATAGGAGGGAGTCTAGAAAGGAAAAACATAAAACAAAGATTCTGGTTAAATATGGCTTATGCAAATGTCCCCCTTTTCAAAGATCTTGTAGGAAAGTCCCTCCTTTGTTATTTTTCCCCTGCATGAACTTATCTTCTTTATTCTTAATACAGGAGCAAGTCAAGGATGTAGCCCAAATGCCTGTAAACTCACAAAGACAATTGGAGAAGACTGGGAATGGGAAAAGGCCCTAGATCTAAAATGCTCTTCACTATTTGGTTGGCAATCAATTCTTCCCACTCCCAAGAAAATGAGTTTTTGCAGTTTTACAAACACAGTTTAGGTAGAGACACTGATACAGGCTGGTCAGCCTCGGTCAGGATGCTGGGGAGCCATCAGCAGTTTCTGCTTGTGAGGCCCACATTTGCCTGTGAGGTTGGTTTCATGTGGATTTAGGGCATGCAGATAGCAAGCATGTTGAACAAAGGACCAACTTACACAATTGTACTCTTTGCTCTGGGGTATTTCATAATCTTCTAGATAAATTAGTTCTCCTTAGAAAGCATATGTCTGCATCAATAACTGCTGGAGTTTTCTCTCATTGATGCGTTTATTAAACCACAAGGGGGTACTGACATTTTGATATTTAGAAGTAATTAGGAGAGCTATAGGAACTCGCACATGGTCAAGCTGTAGTCTGTGACCTCTTGCATAAGAAGGCTCTTGAGGCTGCTGGTGGTGTATGACTGAGTAGTAACA